CATACAGTAAGACCCTACTTAATGATGATTTGATATAACGCTGTCTGCTTGAAGCCTAAAGAAATAAGTTCAAAATTTATGCTGATTTAAATTATTGCAGCATTTTATTGATTCGTACATAATACGATTATTTACAAACATGAACCAATCAGAAAAAGGTGGCAGAAAGGCGTACTTTCTTTAAATCTATGTTTGTTTGGTGCAACTTTGGAAAGAATATAACATTATGGATGCCACATGCAATATCGACTTCACTTAACAAGAATTAACTGGTAATTCAAACAAAAATTAATTATTGTATTTATTCAGACACTTGGCAAATCTCATCTTTAAATTTTATTCAGTTGATGAGATTTGCCAAGTATCTGAATAAATACAATAATTGATTTGTGTTCGAATTACTAAAAATTACTGGACTCAGTTTCAAATATACCAGAATAAGAATTAACTGATAAATGCACGAAAAAAGTGTGGAAGAAATCATGGCTGAAGGTATCCAAGAATTCTCAATGAGAAGAGTCTATTGCTGTATCATAGGTTGATCAAACTCAACCTAATTAATACAGCAGGACTAGGAGATGTAGATGAACAGGATATTGAGGAGTTACCACAGGTTTCTGGTGAGAGTCTTATCAACAACAACCTTCAAGAACTGGCAGAACAAGGAATCCATGTAGAACTGGAAAATAGTGATTCTGAAAACAAAGAACCCAAAAAATAAAACTTTACAACTTTATTGCAAAAAGAAAAAACAAGAATTTCAGAAAAGTCAGGACCTTCGTCACAAAAAATGAACTATTAATATAGAAAAAATGAACTAATTAATACATTATTATACATTTCTGTGTGCATACATTTATCTGTTATTTAACATATACTATTATGCAAATTAATATAAAAATAACTTAAAGTAAAATGTTTTTTATTTTCGATCGCATGTTCCCCTATCCCTATTTACTCTATGTTAAAATGACCTTGTTTAATGCTGTTTCACTTAGCGCTTTGTCATCTAGGAACACATCCCCTGCATTAAGTGAGGTTTTACTGTATTAATACTATAGCTACAAATTTTTTAGGTATACTAAATTAAACATCAATATTTCATCACTACAAAAGGTTCTAATTTATAATAAAATCTAAAATGAATAATTTGTATCTTCTATTTAAATATATAACCATATGTTTAAATTATTATTATTATTATTATTTAACTTCTAAGACATTATAAGTAATCAGTAAGAAATTTAAAACAGCCACATTCAAATTTAAAAACAGTTTATAATATCAGACGTAAGAAATACTTTAAATTACATATGAGCAATTACAGCAATCCCATCCACTTATGTGAGTAATTGGTTCCATGAGAACAGGGCATAAATGGAGCCATGGAAAGACATTCAAAATAGGGATCTGTTCCATATTCTCAAATACAGTACTTAAAACTTTCCTACTCCAGTAAGAGTAAACTAACATTTTTTAAAATATATATCTATAAAAGAGATTATACTGATAACAAAAAACACAATTTTTGATTTAACTATCATTTATTTCCATAAAGTTGATTATTTAGAATTTTTCAATTGCATTAAAGTGAATTTACATAAATAGAGGAATTATATATTAAAAATGATTAAAACAGTAATTAAAGCAGTTTCAAAATGTATTCATTTGTGTAAATTATAATAATTTATTTCAAAGTATTTAAAACTCTCAATTTTTTAATATTTATATTGTAAATTATAAATGAAAAAATTTATTTATTGTAAACTTTATACACAGTTTATACTCATGCATATAAAATGTCCATTAAATCATACATATTAGGAGAAAATTAATCTGGAAGTTTACTTTTTATATTTAAAATCATTACCTACAAAATTTTTCTATTTACAAATAATCACTTATCCAAACAAAAACATCTGAGGTATAAAATAATTTTGCCAAGTAAAAATTTATGACAATTTAGATAACAGTCAAAAATTTTCTTTATTTTTACCAAAGAAAAACTGTAGTTTGGCACTTAAAGGCAAAATGTTAGGTAAATGCAGGTAAAAATCTTGTGGGTACCACTTCCAAATGCCAAGCTCATCTTTACCAAAAAAAACTTTGACCATTGTCTAAATTGTCATAAATTTTTACTTGGCAAAATTTTTTTACATCTCATGTTTTTTTTGGATATCAATTGTTTTTGTTTAATAATTGTATTATTACATCAAGACATTAAATCGCTGACAAAATGCATTGCTGACCAAATGCACTGCCAACCAAATGCTTTCAAAATTCATTTTGGTTGGTGCCAACTGAATGATTCACCACCAATGCTTTTGATACGCTGTTTAGGAAAATTGATATAAAAAGTTTAAATTCACATAAATTTGTGCTTTTGTAATTCTGAGTAACAGTTTGAATAAGATTAATTTGTTTCCATACAATTTTATCCTTATAAGCATAAAATTATTCCATAAACCTGAATTAGCTCTATGGGAAAGCCGCATAAACTTTGACCTATCAATCTGGAAGTTTCACAAGCACCTCAACGATAACAAGAGTCTTAAGTTTAAAATTTCAGCTTTCTAGACTCAGTAGTTTTCTCTCTGAGTGTCTGCAGTCCTGGATAAAGAAAATACAGCTTTTTTTGGAGATTTTTGCATTTTTCAATTGTTTATATTTTGAAACCGCTTTATAGAAAATCTTGAAATTTTGCACACTACCTAGAGAACAATTCTCTTTCAAATGAGATATTTGAAATTACTTTGAGGTGTTTGGGGCAGCAAAATTGATCCCTGAAAATCAGCAATTATTCTGATTCCTGTATATGTAGTCAGTCGGTGACTTTTTTACTTGGAGGGAGTCACTGCTTAACTCCTGATAAAACAAATAATTGACATACAAAAGTAGAAAAATTTAAAAGAATTATGACAAAAGTAAGCAATTATACTAAATTTAGAAAATTACACATTTAGTAAACAATACACACTAGAGTCAAACTATGTATTAAATTAAATCTGTATCTTGATTTGATTCATTTAATATTTACATTTTGATGTTCATTACATAAAACATTACATGGTAAATACAATAAAATGGGGTAAACAGAAACACCTTTATGTAACTCCAATAAGATTAACAATGTGACTTTATAAGTTGTCTCTAAAAAACTGGTCTTATCCACTTTAACAAATTCAGTAGATGTTATAAATTACAGTATTTTTATTATACAGTCGACCCCCCTATAACGCAGTAGATATGTTCCACTTTATAAGAATTTCACGTTGTAGGAATCCTTAAATATATGAGCCAATCACAACCCGGCATGTGTGCAGTTCACGGACTACAGCTGTTTGAAAGGGTTTTCTTCCATAAAATTAATTGATTCTAGACTACTTTGACTCAACATTTCCAAAATATGTATAATTTTTTGGGAATAATCCATATAAACTATGCTATAAACAAAAAACTGTAGGATTACTTACCAAGTGTGCACCGTTTGACAACGCCATTGCTTAAGCTTGTTTTTGTCGCGGAGCAGTGCACCAAACGGTGGGCGCATTTTCTGATAAGTTATTTTTCTGCGAAAAATTCGTTGAACTTTGGAGACATCATTAACCCATCATGTTCGCACTGTGCCTCCTACTTGGATTAATGATGTCACCAAACAAACTTCTTAAATGCCTCCTATAAGGATTAATGTCGTCACCAAAACAGACAACTTAATTGCTTCCTAATAGGACTAACTTTGTTGCCAAAATCTGGGACATCCTAGATTTCAAGATTTCAACTCTATTTCCAGGACAGGGAGGTTACCATGTCTGCCAGCAAATCAATCAAACTTCAGGTATTTTTGTCTATACACAATATCCTGTAAACTCTCTCTTGTGACCCCTAAGGTGTATAGGTCAGTTATTTTGGCATAGTACAATGTATATATCACATAATCCTTTTTCTTTTTCAAATAAATGGTTACTCTGAATAAGTCAGCATCAGTTCTGAACACAATGACAAAGATGGATTCCAGGAAGAGCAGACACATGGGGCCAGGTGAATACAACTCAATGAGGACTACTTCAAAATGGCCATATCAACTTGGACACTGCCTAATACACTGTATATTTCATGGGTAATAAATTCATTCTCATTCTGTATTTGACTTGTCTTTGTATATTATATACAAGGGTGAGTCAAAAAATATATATTGTTTATGCTTGAATGGAATAACTCATCTAAAATGCTATGCACACTACCATGGTAGAGTGCATAGCATTTTAGATGATAGAATGATGATGATGATAGAATGATAGATAGCACTGATGATAGAATGATGTTAACCTTTCATTTATGAAAAAAAGATGTTTTATGGCTTTCTGAAAACTTGTGTTTAACTAATTAATTTATCCATATGGAAGCTATCATACTCCATGAATCAATTATAGATTTTTTTTCAATTTAAAAAACAGAAAACATCTTTGAGATTATTACACCTTGGAAAATTATTATTTAAATTTTAAATATTACAAGCAGATACAGCAATCTTCCAGACTTTTTAACTTTCTCCCTGGTATATGATTTAATGGATAATACCAAATATTTATTTACTTAACACGTTCACGGCATTACGAGGCACATGTGACTCATATGGACACGTCTAGTTAGGGCTACAGACATAATTGCTTGTTTTTCCGTGGGGTGGGCACATATGTTTTGATAACATAATTCTACAAACATCATATTTGATATATCGATATTATCTTATTAGGTGCAATAAAATATATTAATTTAATAGTACGAGGCACGGGTGACTTGTGCCACCCTGTATTAGAATAGCCTATGAGTAATGGGTGACTCGTAATGCCCAGCAGCTGCCTAAACATTTATCTACTGACGCCATGAACATGTTAATAAAAACTTGAACTTGAAATGTAAAACTTGAAAAATTTTCTATTTTAGATTTAAATTATAAAATAAACATTTTACCATTATTAATTAATTAATGAAACCATTACTTACCTGAACTACCAAGGATATTTTTGAAGCTAATTTGATTATTATTCAATTTAGAAGTTGCCAATTTTGTAAAATTCCATTTTGCCATTTCATACAGTTTCATTTTATTTTCTGGGCACAAATTGTTAGAAACTGATTTTCGCTTTAAATTTTTTGTACTTTCTTTGTTCAAATTACATATTTCAGTATGAAGAATATTTTGCAATAATTCTTCTTTAATAGAAAAACCATTTCTTGGTTTAGAAATTCCAAACTGATGATTTTGTACTAAGTCTACACAAGATGATATGCTTGGAGATTTAGAATGTTGACTAGCATTAATATTTTCTTCCTTTACAAAATTTGTCTGTTTGGAATTCTTTATATCATAAAAACCACTTTCTGAAGACAGTGAATCATCAGGTGATTTTTTTGGAGTAATCAAGCCAGAAGTTTCTAATTCCACATATTGCAATTTCTCTGGACTGCTTTTTGGAGATAACTTTAGAGACTTTTGACTAGGTGATTCAAAGTTCAATGATAAATTTTTATGAATGTTAAATAATGAAGTGTTAATATTTCCTACAGTTGAAATGTAATCTTGACATTCAGTATCAGAAAGTGGTGGTGTTCTACTTGGACTGATTGGAGAATATACTTCTGTTAATTTAATTGTTCCTGAATGTAATAATTTTCCATATTTTAAATCCTCAAGACACAATTTTGAATTTAATGAGCTTTTAGTTTTCTTATCTGACAAAATCTTTGTGATATTTTCTTGATGACTGATTAAACCATTTGCTAAATTCTTCTTTGGAGATAAATGTGATTCTTCTTTTAGCATTTTTGCAGTATTTATTACTTGAAGAGAACATTTAGGAAGTAAAGTTTTAGAAGTATCATTAATAGTTGACTCCCCTTGTGAAAAATCTTTGGTTGTAGAAAGTTTATCTGTACTTTCTTCTTGTATAGGACTACTGTTTTCCATTAATGCATTTTTAATGATAGTTTTAATGCGATCTTCAAAATTTGGTATGATAATAGATTCACGAAAAGCTAATTGTTTTTGTTCGATTTCTTCTTTTTTAAAGTGTTCTTCATTTTCTATACTTGGAGATTGTTTAAATATTTCATTAAGGTTTCTTTTAGTTAATAAAATTTTTTCAAGTGAAGTTAATTCTTCTTCCAGATTTTGCAATTTACTGTACAATGTTTTTCTTTCTGATAATGTAGAACTTATTTCTTTTAAAATATGATCACGTGAAAATTTACCAAATTCAGACTGTAAAAGAAATAAATAAAACAAATTTAAGATAAACATTACATCTTTTTAAAGAAAAATCTATATAGTGAAAAATTGTAAAAATTTTTAACAAATAATATTCTCTATTTCTTTTAACCTAAAATAAAGATTAAAAAAACAAGAATTTAATTGTATTAAATTTCTATTATTTTTTTTCAATAAAATTTTAATATTTGATTTTTTGAAAACGTAATAAGTTACAGTGTGACTCAGATTTTATGAGTATTTGATATGTGAAAATTCAATACTATGAGCTATTTTCTTTCTCTCTTCGTGCTGATTTATGAGATGAAATATTTGATATAACTATACGCTGGTGTATGTTATAAGAAAAAATATTCTAACTAAGTATGGTAAGATCAAATTCCTGCAGTCTCCAATTAAATGACTCATGGTTTCCAATCTATTTCCAATCCAATTTTCTTTGTTTCATTCACATTGTCTTCATTTAAGAATAATGTTAATCATTCCAACACAGTTGTGCAGTTTACTGAACTTTAATTTCTATATTTCAGATCATTTTATTGACAATTATGATTTCATTCATTAAAAAAACTGATTATTTTACTCTTGTTTACTGTTTTCTTACCATTAAATGAAGAAATGTCTGATGATTTATGTCTATTTTTTCTTGTTTCAAATTAGTTTCTTTTATATCAACAATTTTATTTATTTCATTTCATTTAGAATCCTTGATAAGTAAACAAATGTTTTCTAGCACTTTAATCTTGTTTAGAGAGCATACTGTAAGATGACTGGTTATGTTGGAATAGGTACAAATTTTGATTATAAGAAACAATAGAAAAACTCATCCTTATTTACAAGATTTTGATTTATGAGAGGTTTTTCAAGAATAGGGGTACACTCATAAACCAGAATAACACTGTAATTGCAATATCATTAATTCTTATAAATATAATTAGTTCATTAGTTCTTTATCAATACTTAAATTGAACACTCACTAAATATGAAAATATTTACTGACCTGTCCCTTCTTAAAGTTCACATTTGCTTAGAAATACTCTCTTTTACATTTGAGTACTTTTCAACTCATTAAATTGTCCACCTTTAGAAGTGATTTTCCAGTTATGATAGATTTAAGTCTTTTGTAGTTTCAATCATTTGAACATCTCATCAAGCAGTTTTTATTTAAATTTCATCATGGTTGTTCTATTGCACTTTCTGTTGGTCTAACTGTTCATTTATTGTTATGATTTATATATATAATTTGATTTTAAATAATTGTTTAAACTGTTATTTTGCTAACTTAGTCAGCTTTTAATTAATTAGTTTTTGATCAGCATCCATTTCCAAAGATTAGGTAGACTATTTTCATCTTTCTTGTTAATCACATCACTTTGTAAACTTCTTAGATCCACCTGTTATCTGCAGAAGGATTAGATCTATCATAACTGAAAGATCATATTTCTAAATGGTTATGAACTCCATGGAAGCAGAGATGATTAATTAATTATCAATACTTATTTTATTGTTTATTAAAAGGTGAAAAACACTTTATAATTAAATTTTAAACTATAAACTGAACTTCAAGTAAAACTTTTTGCATAAAATTTTGGAATCATCAAGACAAGTTCATAAATTAAAAATTTTTAAAAATAAGTGATCCAAAAATGTCTAAGATATGTTTATTTTATACTATTATAAAAAAAATTAGTATTAATAAAGTTAAATGAAATTTCAATTAAATTAAATAACTTATTTCTAAAACATACAATTTCTTGAAAAAAGTTACTGAATTATAAGAAAACAAATAATCATAAAAAGCATAAGATAGAATCATAAAGCTAGAAAGATAACATCCAAAATCATAACCATTCACACTTTTCTAGCAAATGGGTTTACTCATTAATCAAAACATACAAATGTTTTCAGTTTAATTTATAAACCTGCTGAATTTACTAGTTTAAACTACTAAATTCTGAAATTCCAAATTTAAATATTTCAAACATTCAATGATTTTTAAAATTTTATAAATATCATCATCAAATGTTTAAAAATTCCAATTTAAATTTTAGAATTTAGTAGTTCAAAGCTAAACCTGAGACAGGTTTATCCATGAATCAAACATACAAATATTTTAAATTTAATTTATAAACCTATTTGTTGAAAACATTTAAATGGTTTTAATTTTGGATAAAAGCATATGAAGATAAAGCCTAAAAACAACCAGAAAAACATATTTTTGAAGTATTAAATCCTTGATTTCTACACTATAATGAATGATTTTAGTTATTTAAATTTGAAAACTATCATCTTAACAAGGAGTGATTGCCAAGCAGTAGATAATGAGTCAGCATCCTTGCTATTAATGCAATTCCCTTTAAGGGATTCTGCAAAAATATCTAATGCTTCTAGTGTTCTTACTTTGCCTTTAAAGGCAAACTAAGAACCATCTTTTTTGCACTATCAGTCACAACATTTAGCTGATAATATGCAACTGTTAAAACAGTTACTATCAGCCTTAATCAACATATTAACCATTGATCATTGAAATCATTATTTGCTTGCAATACAATAATCTGAATTTCTTTCATCAAATGAGATTACAAATGCATTACTATTAATAATAATAACTATTATAATTAATAAATCTTAACTTTATTTTTAACTGGTTTAGTAATTCAATGAATGAATTAACTAGAGTTTTCATAATTTTGATAAAATTTATTAAACATTTTCAATTGGAAATAGAACACAAAGGATAGAAAACGCTTTTTAGAAACTACTTAAAATTATGAAAATATGATAGCAATTATAATCTCTGAAGTATTTATTCCACATATATCAACGTTTTCAGTTAAATAAATAAATATATAAATTATCATAAGCCATTGTGACTTATAACTAACAACTTTTAAATATTTAAAAAAGAAAATACAGATATTTGAAAGAGACCAACATAAAATTAATATAAGTTAATGTCTAATATAAATAAAAATTATTTGCCTTTGTGATAGGTCTTATTTAATAAACAACAGTTGTTGATTTTAGTTGAATAACAAATTGCTGAACTACAGAGAATTTGTTTTATAAAAATATTATTATAATTAGTTCATCTTTGTAATAACTGTGTTCAAAAGTATAGATATTTCTATAAGAGACTGTGCAATCAATAGCATAAAGCAACATATGAGAGAGAATACTTATTAAAAAAGATTTTTAAAAATTATTATTTGATTTATATTTTCAAACTAAGCTAATTTATGAAATAAGAAAGTGCCTAATCAAAATCAAAGCACAATTTTATTTAACTTAATAAATGCTAGTTAAAAAAGTCAGTAAGATTGAAAATTAGTGATAAATTATTCAATTGCAGCTTCATATAGTAAGTGCAAACTTGTTTAAAATGGACTAAATTTTTAAGAATAATTTTGAATTCTCATTTTAAGTTCTGATTTATTTAGATGAAAATGTTCTCTCTTTTGATAAATTTCTAGTAATTTCTAGTAATTTAAAACCTTAAATGTAATGTGTTATATAGCCTTTAATTTTTGTTTAAAAAGTTTTTTTTGGAAGTTACATCTATATAATAAATTAAATTTTTTAATATACTGTATACTAAAGCATTAAAATAAACCTTTAACAAAACAGAAGTATAAAATATATATTAACTTTAAAATTTTTAGTTTATTATTCAATATAAAATTCTCACTTTGTTCAAGTACATGTTTCAATAATTTTTTTTTAATGAAAATTTAAAAATGAATATGTTAACAAAACCAAACAACCACTGGATTATATCAAGCTACTTTTCTGCACTTATATTTAATTAATTTCTAAATAATTTGTCACTAGAAGGAAGAGTTAGGTGCCATCTCTTATTAAATTTAACAATTATAATTAAATTAATATTTATTAAATAATTTAGAATATTCGTTTTTGTTTATGAATATATTAGCAATTTATTACTGTTGAAATAACTTATAAGTATAAAATTTTTAAAAATTTACAATGCTTGTATCATGTTTAAATACAAGAAAAATAAATTTCCAAAACTGGATAAGTAACTGAATGAAATAAGTGCACCTTAAATAACTCCAGCTATAAATTTTAATGGACCAAAAATGTTTTCAACTTTCTATATGAGTCTTCATTAATTTGAACACCACAAAAATTTGAATGAAAAAGAACACAAAAACATTCTAAATAAAATAGGTCTATTTTATTTAGAATGTTTTTGTATTCTTTTTCATTTAAACTTTTGTGTTTTCAAACTGATAAAGACCCATTTGACTACGTTATAAACATTTTTGGTCCATTAAAATATTTTGCTGGAGCTATTTAAGATGTACTTACGAGGGCTGTTCAAAAAGTATTGTACCTTTAGTCGGTAAAAATACATTTATTGATTTTGAGGTACAAAACTCTAATCCCCTTAAAGTAGTCTTCTTGGTAGTGTATACACTTCTCCCAGCGTTCCTGCCATTGCTGGAAACACTGCTGGAATGCATCTTTTGGAATGGCCTTCAGCCGGTCCATCGCATTCTGCGCGATGTCTTCTCTCGACTAAAATCGGGTTCCTTTTAGCAGCATTTTCAGCTTGGGAAATAGCCAAAAGTCACACAGAGCCATGTGGGGAGAGTACAGAGCGTGACGAACACAGGAGTGTTGTGTTTGGCAACAAAAGCCCGAATCAGATGTGCAGAATGGGCGGATGCGTTATCATGATGGAGCTGCCAAGTTTTGATCGACCACAGATCCAGTCGTTTGCGTCGCACAGCATCGGAAAGACGATGAAGGACCTCCTGGTAGTACTCCTTTGCGATGGTTTGGCCTTGTGGCGCGTACTTAGCATACACCACCCCACGAGAGTCGAAAAAACTGTCAACATGACCTTGATATTGCTGCGGACCTGCCGTGCTTTTTTTGGCCTCAAGGATCGTCTCCAATAGCCTGCTGAATCTTGCGAATGGTTTACACTTGGGTATCGCCAAGGTTTTGGCAAAATTTGATGTAATATCACTGCTCACGTTGTTCGGTCATTTTCCAACTTAGTGGAATCCGACGAGAGCTCACTACACGTTCTCACTCATAGGCCGACTGCCAGCGACTGACGCTTCCTGCAGGCGGGAAAAAATTCAGGGCTGTGCATGACTGTCCCCTCCACAACTCCACCGAAAGAGGCCTCCCCCGCATCATTGGTTTACGCGGAAAAAACAAAAGTCCGATACTTTTTGAAAAGACCTCGTATTTTGTTTACAATGAAAAATTCATTTTCCTGCAAATTATTTTATTCAATTTCATCTAAATAAATATATTTGTCTATTGTTAATCTTTTTACAATAGCATAGTTAATACTAGATTATTTTAATAAAATTTAGTTAAATATTTTAAATTCCTGTTTAAAACTTATTATAAATTTCCACTAAAAACAATAATTGCAGCTAAAAGTATTTCAAGAAATTTTAACATAAAAAATTTCTTTTTTTCTAATAGAAAAGCTTTTAAGAAAAAAAATTTACCAACTTAAGATACAAATTACAAAAGTGAAATAATTGACATACCATTTTAATTATGACAATCTTGTTAAGTTTCAATGTAAAGCATAAGAAAACAAAATTCGAAATTTATGATATTTGCATATGTTGTTTTCTTTTTCTTAAAAAGGAAAATTCCATCTTTCTCAATTTTAATAAATTCTAGTTTAGAAAGATAATCAATGTTGATACTATGTATGATAAACTGGTTTCAACAAAATCAAAAGTATTGGTGCTGTTGTTTCAAACAAGTAGTTGTTTTAAATAATGGTCAGCCAGATGGAACACAATAAGATATTAGTTTACAACTATGAATGATTGCCAGCCAGATCAGCATCCATGGGTGAACCAGTAAAGGTGACCTGAAAATTATTCCATTTTTAAAAAAATCAGAGTTGCTTAACTTTCCTGGCAAAGTTTAGAACAGTGTGTGTAATCCCATCTGTTATGACATTTTATTAGACTAACACTTATAAGACTAACACTTTATTAGACTGTTAGTCTTAGAAATAGTTCTAGCTACATATGCATAGTAGACATTTTATTATTAAAAACTTTTTAATTTTTAACTAGCAGACCCCGCCACACGTTGTTATGGCTCAAAATGTATCTATTATAAATGTATAACACTTCCCCTGTGGGAGGGGAAATTTTACGAAAAATTTCTTCTTAGTGTACATTCTCTTGACGTACCCTATTAAAACGCAATCAAAAACGCAAAAAACCGCATCTTAAATAGTATAAATAGAAGCAGAGTTCTTTACTGTAAGTCTTAATCCTGTCCATCTCCCTTCAGTGGGGGGAATTTCGACACGTATATGATATAAAAACACATCCGCATTCGAATGCAGCGTTGTGTCAAAATTTAAAAGGAATTGGTAGGAACAAACGAACATTACATTTTTATTTATATAAATAGATAGAAGATGATCCACTTTAGTTCATTTTCACAGAAAAGCGTAATGCCTCACAGAAAAGCAAACTTAGGGCGTCGTACTCGTAGCGCCATCTGTTGGACATGAAAGCCTTAACCTAGATTATATATTTTAATTTATATGAATGTTTAACGGATAATATACAGCCTATGTCCACCCTGAGGTTCCATTTTAAATATTGGTGAAAGAATTTTTGAAATCGGATGAGTAGTTTCGGAGATTACCTGCTGCAACGAAACTTACATATATACAAACATTACCTCTTTATATATTAGTATAGATTATTATAAAATGGCAAAAAGTTTAATTTTGAGAGCAGGGATGGGTTTTATAAAAACTTGTAAATGCTAATAATGAGTAAAATTGTCATTAACCATATTGACCCTACTGGAGATACACACGACTCCCTTTATCTTCCCACCCTAACCTTTAACCACCAAAATTTAATAGCATCAATCTCCCTAATAAACAAACCTCCATGCTAAATTTCAGAAATTTTTGACAAAAAGCACTGGAGTTATTAAGCTTCAGAGAGAGTGAACAAAATTCTTCCCCCCAAACACACAGAAATTACCCAAATTTTTTTTGCATTTCTCAACATTTCAAGGCTCTGAGTCCAAAAATATATGGCAATCAGTCAATAAATGACCCCATTTTTTGACCAATCGCCTTACTTTCCCTGTGTTATATATAATAGCTGGAAAAGTAATATTTTAAATAATGAAATATTTAATGTCAAATTTTTAGCCAAATTCATACTTGAGAAATGTCTTTCTTCTCCTTGTTAGTAATGTATTGATAATGATATTTATATGATAATCTCAAGTACAAGCCAACCAATGCCTTATGTCATCGGGCTAGATAACGGCTATAATACTAATAAATTATGAAACAAGGCATTAGGTGCCATCTCTTAATAAAATTAATAATTATAATTTTTAATTAAATACTTTAGATCAGGGGTGTCCAACCTTTTTGTTTCTCTGGGCCGCATTAGAAGAAGTCAAGGAGTTTTGGGCCACAAGTATATATAATATATACTTGTGGCCGAATATACAAGTATATTTAAGGATTAACATGTCTAGATTATAATAATAAGTTTTAAAACTTTATCACGAAACAGGATATTTTAAAAAATTACTTTTACAGACACTTTCAATTTTTACTTACAAATAGATAAATTCATTTATTTGATAAAAAGCAAATATTTGGTTTATTTGAGTCTCTGATTAACAAAAAACCAAGAAACACCATTTTAAAGTGCATTTTTATTCCACTAACATATTTATAAATGATATGTAGCCCCAAAAGTAGCCAAAGCTCCAAATGATATTTTTTTACGTTAAACTAAAAAAGTAGCCACATTTGGCTCAATGTAGCCAAATCTTGCTACGCTGGAAGGAATACTAAATAAAGCTGGAGTTGTGAATCAAAGAATTATAGAGCCAAATTCGGAAAAAAAAGAGAAAGGACAAAAAATAAAGAAGTGAGAAAGGTTGAAAAATTAAGACTCAATATTTGCCTAACAGAAGAACTATTTAACCTTTCTGACAACTTTTTATCTTTTGTCCTTTCTCTCCTTTCACCAAATTTGGGTCTATAATCCTTTGAGTCACAACTCCAGCTTTATTTAGTAATCCTTCCTCATTCACACATCTTCAAGTACATGAAAATATTTCATTTCCACTCAAAATTAAAATATGAATAAAGGTTTATGGCTTTGTGAAACGTCTTTTCTGAGTTTATGCCGTTGAAATAAATAAATAATAATAAAATTAAAACATTTGTCGGTTTTGTTTAAACCTTTATTGGGCCGCGGGTTGGACACCCCTGCTTTAGATCTACTAGAAGAAAAGAACGGGTTCGAGTCCTGCTCCAGGACTCGAACCCGCAACTCCCACTTTAACATGCAGATGCATTGCTAATTATGCTACCCAGACCTCTGGTCTGAGCAATGCATCCACAAGTTAGCATAATTATCTCTTAATAAAATTAATAATTGACATTATTAATTTTATTAAGAGATAATGCCTAACATCTCCCTCTAGTACCAAATTGTTTCATAATTTATTAGTATTATAGCTGTTATCTAGCCTGATGACATACAACATTGATTGGCTTGTAGTTTAATATTCTGTCAGGTTGTTTTAGTGGTGTTGTTTGTTGATAATCTCAAGTAGACACCCACAATTGCCATAAATAATCAGGCTATATTCTAATTAATTATTATAATTATTAAATTTAATACAAGATGGCACCTAACACTTCCCTCTAGTGCCAAATTTATTTGTAATTCATAATTAATATTTCCAAATTATAGTCCAATTATTTATGGAAATTGTGGATGTCTATTTGCTAAGAATTGGGTTTCAGCAGATGTTTATAATCGATAAGCTCAAGGTTAACATCATATTTATTAGTTTGCAATATTTCATTGCCCGTTTTCAAAAAATAAAATAAGCTATTATTTAACTTTTTAAAACTTGATTGTTTCTTCAAATAATGATAAATAACAGCAAAAGAATACAGTACCACTCAAAAATGAAAAACTAATGTGATTATTATAAATCGTTTTCTAATAATTCTTCCTTTAAGAATAAAAACTAATCAATCATTTAAAACAAACACAGAAAAATGACATTATCCTCCTATATAGTAATTAAATTAATATTCAGTAAAACAGTATTATACATTTTGCAAGCTAGCCTATGATAATTGGACTTATCTGTATTTTTTTTTTTTTTTTTTTATCAATTCACTTGAATTATTAGAATAGCCTACGAGTAATGGGTGACTCGTAATGCCCAGCAGCTGCCTAAACATTTATCTACTGACGCCATGAACATGTTAATAAAAACTTGAACTTGAAATGTAAAACTTGAAAAATTTTCTATTTTAGATTTAAATTATAAAATAAACATTTTACCATTATTAATTAATTAATGAAACCATTACTTACCTGAACTACCAAGGATATTTTTGAAGCTAATTTGATTATTATTCAATTTAGAAGTTGCCAATTTTGTAAAATTCCATTTTGCCATTTCATACAGTTTCATTTTATTTTCTGGGCACAAATTGTTAGAAACTGATTTTCGCTTTAAATTTTTTGTACTTTCTTTGTTCAAATTACATATTTCAGTATGAAGAATATTTTGCAATAATTCTTCTTTAATAGAAAAACCATTTCTTGGTTTAGAAATTCCAAACTGATGATTTTGTACTAAGTCTACACAAGATGATATGCTTGGAGATTTAGAATGTTGACTAGCATTAATATTTTCTTCCTTTACAAAATTTGTCTGTTTGGAATTCTTTATATCATAAAAACCACTTTCTGAAGACAGTGAATCATCAGGTGATTTTTTTGGAGTAATCAAGCCAGAAGTTTCTAATTCCACATATTGCAATTTCTCTGGACTGCTTTTTGGAGATAACTTTAGAGACTTTTGACTAGGTGATTCAAAGTTCAATGATAAATTTTTATGAATGTTAAATAATGAAGTGTTAATATTTCCTACAGTTGAAATGTAATCTTGACATTCAGTATCAGAAAGTGGTGGTGTTCTACTTGGACTGATTGGAGAATATACTTCTGTTAATTTAATTGTTCCTGAATGTAATAATTTTCCATATTTTAAATCCTCAAGACACAATTTTGAATTTAATGAGCTTTTAGTTTTCTTATCTGACAAAATCTTTGTGATATTTTCTTGATGACTGATTAAACCATTTGCTAAATTCTTCTTTGGAGATAAATGTGATTCTTCTTTTAGCATTTTTGCAGTATTTATTACTTGAAGAGAACATTTAGGAAGTAAAGTTTTAGAAGTATCATTAATAGTTGACTCCCCTTGTGAAAAATCTTTGGTTGTAGAAAGTTTATCTGTACTTTCTTCTTGTATAGGACTACTGTTTTCCATTAATGCATTTTTAATGATAGTTTTAATGCGATCTTCAAAATTTGGTATGATAATAGATTCACGAAAAGCTAATTGTTTTTGTTCGATTTCTTCTTTTTTAAAGTGTTCTTCATTTTCTATACTTGGAGATTGTTTAAATATTTCATTAAGGTTTCTTTTAGTTAATAAAATTTTTTCAAGTGAAGTTAATTCTTCTTCCAGATTTTGCAATTTACTGTACAATGTTTTTCTTTCTGATAATGTAGAACTTATTTCTTTTAAAATATGATCACGTGAAAATTTACCAAATTCAGACTGTAAAAGAAATAAATAAAACAAATTTAAGATAAACATTACATCTTTTTAAAGAAAAATCTATATAGTGAAAAATTGTAAAAATTTTTAACAAATAATATTCTCTATTTCTTTTAACCTAAAATAAAGATTAAATTTTTATAAAACAAGAATTTAATTGTATTAAATTTCTATTATTTTTTTTCAATAAAATTTTAATATTTGATTTTTTGAAAACGTAATAAGTTACANCTACCTTATATATATATATAAATATATATATATATATATATATATAAATATATATATATATATATAAAATCATATAAATTCTATCATAATCAAATGTTTCTTTACTCCTCTCTTAGTCAAGTCAGTAGTTCTACTACATCTGATGCTGTTCTAAGATTGTTTTGATTTATCATTTACTAACAAAAAAATATGAAATGCATGACCTATGAAATTTTGATAACTTTTAACATCATGCCAATATTTAAACTCAGTCTATATCTGTTACTTGAATCAATTCTTCATGAATAATATGAATTATTTCCATGTGTGAATGATTATAGGTAATTCTTCATGATACCTGAAAATAGGAACAGACAAGCAAACTGTTCACTCATTTAATTTTTTATCTTTCTGGACAATATAGGTGTTGTGAAATTACCAAAGACTAACTTTTAAACATAATTTCATTATTTTTTTAATTAATCATTATATTTATTATATTTTAATGTTTTCATTTAAATACTTTCACCGAGTAATAAATATAACTAAATTGCTAAAAATATTTAAGCTTATTAATTATATTCTCTTATTTGTCTGTCTGTTTTGTACAGGGGAAAAAAAAATTTTCTCTAACGTTTTTATAATTTTGCATCACTAATATTACTAAAATTCTTCCTTATGAGATTTATTCAAGTCAGTTTACGTGTCTGTTATGCATTATAAATCTTTCTTTAATGTAAATTTTTATTAGCATACAATGAAATTAATTCTCATTGTTTATAATTAAAGCTAATTATTATTTTTACAGAACAAGAACAAAGTTTAATTGGATAAAATAATTTGATTAAAAAAAATTCCTGTAATAAAGGTGGAAATTTGATTTGTTAGTAATAGCAAATTAAAGAATTACATACTTGCTATACAGTTACTTCTGTTACAGGTTCAAATGCACTTCTATGTTAATTAGATATCTGTAAATAGTTTCAATGACTATAAAATTGATGTATCATTTGGAAATGTTATTTTCTAAAATTTTCTGAAAGATTTTCAAATTGTCCAATACTAAACTATTTAGAAGTTTTTTTAATAACTGTTAATTTAAATTATAAAATTATTTAAATTTAAACAATACGTTTGTCAAATTATTTCAAGAAATTAATTTAAAATACAAAGGATGTTATTATGTAAACCTTTGATAAATTCATTAGCTTGCTTATGGGATATAGAATTAAAAACAAAAATACAATTAATTATTATTTATATAAAATAATGGCATTTGTTTTTAGTGTTTCTTATGGTTATTCCTCATTTATTTAAAATATATGCACAATAATTTGAATAACTACAAATAAAAAATAAGAATTTAAAATGCATTCTATCTTACTTTTTCATTAAATATTCAATATATTTTAACTTTAGTATATTTTACTTAAATTTTATATTCAGAATTTTAAAAAATTATGTAGAAAAATAACATATAGAACAAGCTATCTAAACATTAACATGTGTTATGGCTTCTTTTATTTATGTGTAAGTTTTTATATTTTTGATAATATATATTTTATGTATATAATAAATAAGCATTTATAGTAAAAAGAGCTTTGCCTAATATTTGTAATGTTAAGTGAATTATAAACACAGTCATTAGTGTGCAGTCTTTTTCTGAATGGTTTCAAAATCTGCCAAAATTATTTTAGAAACTACTCATGCTTTTGATCTGAATAATTCTTAAGTTATTTTAATGATAAATATATTTCTTTTTTCACATTTTTGAATAAAAGAATTTTTTGCAAATATTTATATTTATATATAAAGACTAAAAAAATATATCTTTTACAATAATGATATCCACAATAGATATCATTTTTAAAAATGTATGATATAATTAAATATAATTTTTCTTGTTTTTATTAAAATGGTTCTTTGTTAATAATCCTTGAAACATTCTAAATTTTTTTCCTCATGACTATCTATGGTCCTGCACAGAGAGTAAACTTGGCAATCTATCAAAGTTTACATAACAATGATAAATACAAAGATAATACTTGTTTCTGTAAAAATAAAAGTTTAAGATTTCAATGATTAACATAAACAATGACAAGACGAGAATACATCTATAAAAATAAATTTAAACAAGTGAATAAGAAAAAGTAATAACNCTACCTTATATATATATATAAATATATATATATATATATATATATAAATATATATATATATATATAAAATCATATAAATTCTATCATAATCAAATGTTTCTTTACTCCTCTCTTAGTCAAGTCAGTAGTTCTACTACATCTGATGCTGTTCTAAGATTGTTTTGATTTATCATTTACTAACAAAAAAATATGAAATGCATGACCTATGAAATTTTGATAACTTTTAACATCATGCCAATATTTAAACTCAGTCTATATCTGTTACTTGAATCAATTCTTCATGAATAATATGAATTATTTCCATGTGTGAATGATTATAGGTAATTCTTCATGATACCTGAAAATAGGAACAGACAAGCAAACTGTTCACTCATTTAATTTTTTATCTTTCTGGACAATATAGGTGTTGTGAAATTACCAAAGACTAACTTTTAAACATAATTTCATTATTTTTTTAATTAATCATTATATTTATTATATTTTAATGTTTTCATTTAAATACTTTCACCGAGTAATAAATATAACTAAATTGCTAAAAATATTTAAGCTTATTAATTATATTCTCTTATTTGTCTGTCTGTTTTGTACAGGGGAAAAAAAAATTTTCTCTAACGTTTTTATAATTTTGCATCACTAATATTACTAAAATTCTTCCTTATGAGATTTATTCAAGTCAGTTTACGTGTCTGTTATGCATTATAAATCTTTCTTTAATGTAAATTTTTATTAGCATACAATGAAATTAATTCTCATTGTTTATAATTAAAGCTAATTATTATTTTTACAGAACAAGAACAAAGTTTAATTGGATAAAATAATTTGATTAAAAAAAATTCCTGTAATAAAGGTGGAAATTTGATTTGTTAGTAATAGCAAATTAAAGAATTACATACTTGCTATACAGTTACTTCTGTTACAGGTTCAAATGCACTTCTATGTTAATTAGATATCTGTAAATAGTTTCAATGACTATAAAATTGATGTATCATTTGGAAATGTTATTTTCTAAAATTTTCTGAAAGATTTTCAAATTGTCCAATACTAAACTATTTAGAAGTTTTTTTAATAACTGTTAATTTAAATTATAAAATTATTTAAATTTAAACAATACGTTTGTCAAATTATTTCAAGAAATTAATTTAAAATACAAAGGATGTTATTATGTAAACCTTTGATAAATTCATTAGCTTGCTTATGGGATATAGAATTAAAAACAAAAATACAATTAATTATTATTTATATAAAATAATGGCATTTGTTTTTAGTGTTTCTTATGGTTATTCCTCATTTATTTAAAATATATGCACAATAATTTGAATAACTACAAATAAAAAATAAGAATTTAAAATGCATTCTATCTTACTTTTTCATTAAATATTCAATATATTTTAACTTTAGTATATTTTACTTAAATTTTATATTCAGAATTTTAAAAAATTATGTAGAAAAATAACATATAGAACAAGCTATCTAAACATTAACATGTGTTATGGCTTCTTTTATTTATGTGTAAGTTTTTATATTTTTGATAATATATATTTTATGTATATAATAAATAAGCATTTATAGTAAAAAGAGCTTTGCCTAATATTTGTAATGTTAAGTGAATTATAAACACAGTCATTAGTGTGCAGTCTTTTTCTGAATGGTTTCAAAATCTGCCAAAATTATTTTAGAAACTACTCATGCTTTTGATCTGAATAATTCTTAAGTTATTTTAATGATAAATATATTTCTTTTTTCACATTTTTGAATAAAAGAATTTTTTGCAAATATTTATATTTATATATAAAGACTAAAAAAATATATCTTTTACAATAATGATATCCACAATAGATATCATTTTTAAAAATGTATGATATAATTAAATATAATTTTTCTTGTTTTTATTAAAATGGTTCTTTGTTAATAATCCTTGAAACATTCTAAATTTTTTTCCTCATGACTATCTATGGTCCTGCACAGAGAGTAAACTTGGCAATCTATCAAAGTTTACATAACAATGATAAATACAAAGATAATACTTGTTTCTGTAAAAATAAAAGTTTAAGATTTCAATGATTAACATAAACAATGACAAGACGAGAATACATCTATAAAAATAAATTTAAACAAGTGAATAAGAAAAAGTAATAACACAACAAGCTATGTTAATGTTAAACTTGTAGTAGAAACTTTAAAAAAGGAAGATGTCACAGTCTGCTAGAATAGTGAACTATTAGAAATTTCAAATTCTGATGATAGCAAATATGCCAAATTTTAATTAGTCTTTAAGAAAAAGAAAAATAACCAATAATATAATATTGTGAATTCCAGGAATTCAGATAATCTATTAAATACTTAAAATTGGCAAATTTCTTATTATATAAAAAAAGAGAGACTTTAAATGTTTTAGATTCTTTTACTTTAGTTCTAACAATCTTTAATTTTTTTTATTTATTTTTCAACTTTATCCTTATAAATTTTTTAAATTTTTCTCTTTTTTTAAAAGGAAATTATTGAATTTCTGTAGTAGTAATGTTGTTCCTTTTGTTCCTGAAGATATAGTTTAATAAAGTTTTCATTCAAATCTCTATATAAACTGTTCTTCTTATAACTTTATGTTCTAAATAATGCAAATTTATAATGTAAATATTCTTTGAATAGATATTGTTCTTAGAAACAATCAGAAAAAAACAAAAAATTTTGCAATATTTTTCCTCTGAAAATATTTATTGAAGTCAAATTTAAATTATTACATATAAATTTTTGTCATTTTTATTGTTTTTCCATTAAGTCATAAAATTTTATTTCTCTCATTACATTAGAAAAATTATTATAGTAAAAAAAATTAAGATAGGACACTATAAATTCAAAATTCTGAATTAAGCTAAATTTTATAAAATACACACAAAAATTGTTATAACATTCCTATACATTAAAATAACAATCAAAATGCTCTAACTTTCTTCTATAACACTTTTTGTAAGATTTGTAAGCATATAACAATATAGTAAAACTAAGCTAATAATAAATTTAATTCATTTATAAAATAAATTCATTATATTTGATCTGAATTATGCTTTGCATAATTATTAGTTCTTTTGTAGACTAATTTCTATTATCACAAATACAATTTCTTCAAACTTATGTAGAAAAAAGGCTTTTTAAATAGAAGTAAAAATATTCAGTTATTTCTTATTTCTTTATTATTATTATTATTACTTTTTTTTTGAGATTTAACTAATTTTATTCTTAAAAAGATCTGTTACTTTAAGAATTTAAAATACATAATATCTATTTGAATTTCTCTTCATAAATTAAATACATTTAATCATAACTAGTAAAATTTGCTTATATTCCAGTTCTGATGGTATGTTTAAATAAATATTATAGAAATATTCTTCCAGATGAAAGCTAGTTTATCTTTAAAAATAACCAAAATAAAAACTTCTCAAGAAATCAAACCTAAAGTTTAAATATAACCTTTTAAAATTTGGGTTTGATTTAAACATATGAAGCTGAAAAAGGCAAAAAATGTCCAAAAATGTTTGTACAATAAAGAAAATATACTGATTTTGGTCTACAGTAAGCAAAATCTATGGTTTTAAAAAATTTCACTATTTTCCCGGTAATGTGGATATATTTAAAAACTTATAAAAAGACAACAACAAGAATATTATAGCATTTACTATATTTAATGCTACAGATCAATATGTACATAAATTTTTAAGCTGTTTTAACTAGTATCCAATATATTTGCCTACAAATAAAATCCACTTGTCCTAAAGCTTTCAAAAATTTTCAAGAACC